GCTAATTGACCTAGAGCTCGGTGTCCAAAACCGTTTCGTTTTCACACCAGAAACCGATTTGTATCGCTGGCCTAGCGTCGTTCACGAACGTCTCTCATCGTTAAAACTCGAATGGTTCGGGAAACACGACGAAGCGACGTTGTGTAGAGTTTACATCGATCGTTTCTTGGAACGCGTGTCGTTTCCTTTGCTCACCAAGTTTTCTCTTTCTTGTAGTCTCGGTGACGGTGAACCGGACGTTTTGTCCGGTTTCCTCTCGAGACACACAAAGCTCGAAGATTTGGTTTTTTCATTGCCTGATTATGATATGCACTTGATGCGTGCAGTGGGAGATGACCATGACGTATCGACTCTGGTTTCGGGGAGCTTTATGCTCCCGTGGCGTCGCACGGGTCCGTTTGATGAAATCACCCTTCCACCGGGAAAGTGGGTGATGTTATAGAATCGATAACGGATAGATCCTCTATACAAGAACACAAGATATATTATATATTCCTTATCGTTTACTAGGGATGAAATTTTTGGGATGTAACTCTGGGATGTACTATTACTATGTATGCATACATTTATTCGTTCTCATGTATAAATTATATACATACAGGAAGAGAGGCCTGCTCATAGTAGTTTACTACTTATATGTAACACCATACGACTATGTACCAACTGTACCTACATTTAAACCCGTCTTCATATCCTTGTTAGTACTATACTTTGTATTTTATGTTAGAAATGATGTGTTCATATTTGAACCTTTGAAGTTTTCAGACTCGGCCTCTTCATAACGGACGTGGCAAAGTCCATGAATTCTTGTTTTGAGCAAAAGCGTCCAGGCTGTTTCATTGGCAATAATCAATCGTCTGAACATGGCATTTTAGAAGGTAAGAGAAATATCAACCCACCTTCATAGCATAAACCACGATCTCCGGGGACCCAGCTCCACTTCCATTAGTTGCATCTCCTCCATTAGCTGTCGCCGAACTCGAAGTCGACTCTGCTGACGCTGAGCTTGCCTGATTCTCAGCGTGTTCCGAAGATGAAGTAGTAGGTGACCCGGATCCACTGCCAACGGGCGGTGACGATGATGATGATGCAGGGAATTCCGGCATGACGATTCGAAGAATCGATTCCTCCGAGTCGAACAAACACCGAACGGTGGGTTGTAACCGAGCGTTCATGGAGACTTTCCATAGAGGTTCTCGGCGGAATACTGCCAGTTCAATCCGTGAGATATTATAGCGTGTATAGAAGGAATTTTTTGAAAAAAAAAAAATAATAATAAAAGAAGATAGTAAGTTTAAGTTCCACCTGGAGTAAAGAAAGGATGAAGAGAAAAGAAATTGTGCGGGGGGGTACTCACGAAGCCTCTCTACATCATGATTTTTATTCGAGAGCAACTTGACATGACCCAGCATGCCTGTAGAGTAATCTTTTGAACCACGTTTGACGAAGAGTTTGACGCCTTTGAGTTCGCATTCGACGTTTTCTTCTTCTTCACCTGTGAGATCTGTAGGATATCGAGAGGGGGGGGGGGAAGCAACGGAGGGAAGGGGGGTTGAAAGAAGGGATGTGATACGAAAGCGAAGGAAACGGGCATGAAACAACGATCGGAATGTACGGAATGTAGGATTTGGAAAAACGATCAAGAAGATGGGCAAGAGGTGAACAACCAAAGAAAAAAAACGTAAGCCTCATCTCTCGCACAATCAACATTTCTTTCAAAAATACGAAAACCACTGACGATTATAACCCGTCGCCGTCGCCGTCGATGTTCCCTCCGCTTTCGAATTCGATGACGATGATGAGGAAGAGAAGGAAGACCTAGCGCCAATAGCGTGTCCATTCGTTCCGATTTTTTCTTTCCCTTTGGCGTTCGAGCTTCCAAAGACTAAAGAACTCTGCGAATCGATATCATCTTCACCATCTTCCTGGTTGTTGTAAGATGAAGAAGAATCATCAGAAAAAGTATGACGTTTACGGAAAGTCGAAGAAGACCAGATTGGTCTGTTGTTGCCGTTTAAGCCGTTCGTTGATCCACCACTAGTACCACCACTGCTACCGCTACCGAAAGCACTAGTACCAGAGCTCGCGAACTGGGAAAAGGGAGAAAAGGGAGAAGGTGAATTGGAAGGTGATGCATAGGACGAGAACGCAGTGTGACTGAATGGACTCGGACTCGGACTCGGACTTGGATTGCTGTTATTGGATTTCGTCAGTGCCACGGTTCCGAGTCCGGTCGAAGAAGAAGTGGCAGCCAGTGATCCGTTCGGGGTCGGACGTGAGTTCGGCGAGGTGGTGAAACTGGACTTGGAGTTTGGGGTGAATGGAGTAGATGGGGTGGTGGTAGAGGTAGAGGTAGAAGGGAGAGGAGCCTGAGCGAAGCCCGAATTCGAGGTGGAGGTGGATCCGAGTCCGGTGGGCTGATTTGAAAAAAAGAAAGAATTTTAGCAAAAGATAACGAATTAGTTAGTTATTTATCGTATAGACGAAGATTTGAACGGAGGGATTTAATAAAGAGAGATTGATTAATCAATTAATCAATCCAACAAAAAGTCAACGCCTCGAGGACGGTGACTGTCCGCAATGATAGCGAGGCGATAGTATAGCTCCACGTCACACGAACATAGAACAAATGACCACACACACACAATACATACCTTCGAGTTCACATTGTTCATAGAACTTGCGAGGATCGATTTTGGAGACGACCTGGGTAATGGGAGTTGGGGTTTCGGGTTTGGATTCGGATTCGGATTAGATTGGGCCTAACAGAAAAAAAAAAATTTTCGAATGCGATTCAGTTTCATGCTCTGCAAAAGACAGACTAGAAAGAGGGAGAGAAAGAAGAGAAGGATAGACAGGTGGACAAAATAGAAAGTCGAAACGAACTTGGGATGACTTGGAAAACGCTGGGACTGTCCCTACGTCAAACTTTGACAATGACTGCGTCGGAACTGGCGTCCCTGCTTCAGTCACCACCACCGGTGCATTCCCATTCACATTCGCATTCGACGATTGCACAGTATCACTAGTACTCGTGTTGAATCTGTTGATGAGTGACTCGGAAGCGTTATCTGTATCACGATCCTGAGGGTGCTGTGAAACAGTGAACATAAGTATTAAAATTAGGTACAAGGATTAGGTATCGAGGAGAAGGGATTTCGGTAGAAGACGGAGCCTGAGGAAGGGTGTTATAATAAGCTTAAGCACTCACATGCGTGTTTGCTAGCTGCGATGGAGTTGGAGTTGGAGTTGGGGCTGGGGCTGGGGTTGAAACGCGATCCGAGTCGGGGGAATGGGGAAGGGCAGGAGGAGGTATTATCTGCTTTTGAGAATTAGAGAACGAAGTTATGTATAATGAGAATCGGAAAAAACAAAGATTGGAATGAAATGCGATGTATTGACCATGGATAAATCGCGTTATACGTTTACCTTTTCCTTCTCGTTCGCCTTCGTTACAGAGTCCTCTTCATCTCTGGGCGGTGTCCTTCTTTTGTTAGGATAAATAGCAGTGAGGTTCTGCGTATACGTATACAAAAAGGTTCGTTCACGTTTTAGCATGCACAGAGAGAGAGAGAAACGAGAAGTGTTGAATTTTGAGACGTACGTATGGATATTCCAAGTCCTTTCAAATCAAAACCAAGTCATCATGAGAGAAAGATACCTATCAGCACGCTAACCAAAAAAAAAGAAGACAAAAGCTAATCTCTTACATTGTTATTCTCATCATGATCATGCATCTGTTTTCTCTTCAACGATCGTCGACGATCCGGGACTCCAGAACTCGGTACAGGTACAGGGGGAAGGACGACTACAGGTTGCAATTGAGGATTCGGCGACATGATTGGTTCTTGAAGAGTAGTAGTAGTAGTAGTAGGTTGAGTAGGTTGTACCGAGCTTTGGCTTTGTTCTGCTTTATTCTCGACGAGATGATGATGATGATGGAAAGCAGAGTGAGTGAGCGAGACGTCATTGACAGGAGAACAAGCCATGTCGTTCTCAGAAGGATAAGAAGAAGAAGACGACTTCTCAATCGCTGAATCCGAATCCATCATTAAAATCTCCGGACACTTCTTCGATGATACGATCGAAGCCGATTCGCCGGCTACAGGTGAGAGTGAGACGGGTTGTTCGACGAGCATGGGATCGGAGTCCGGAGTAGTGTCTTTGTTAGCAAAAATAGTGTTGGTAGTGGTGGTGGTGGTGGTGGTGGGGGTAAAGGTGGAAGAATGATCGACTGTCGAGTCAGAGCCGAAACTACGTGGGGAGATCCAAGTAAAAGGGGGCGAGAGAGAGGGGGGGGGGAACACATGTTGTCGCGTTTTTTCGTTATCGTCAATCGTTCAATAAGAAAAAAGTGCCTCGAGGTCGAAAGATAAAATTGCCCCAAAAGACTCACGTCGAATTTCTACGGACCAGTCGCTTCGAACAGATGTAGCCCACGGTAGCGGCAAATGTGGCCATTCCACAGACCATGATGTTGAAGTCGGGGACAGGTGTCATTCCGAGTCTTCTCTCCACACAAAGATTATATGTATTTCGGAAGATCCGAGGGGGTCGAAGTCGAAATAGAGTCAAGTTCGAAAATGGAGCGGTTTTTTGAAGTAGAGCTAAGACTTGTTCAGTCTTGAAATGTCGGTGGAAGTGAGGTTCGCGGAAGGTAAGCAAGAGAGAGGGAGTATCCAAGTTCTGCATGTTATAAAGTATCAGTTAATTAGTACCAGCTCGCCTCGTTGAGACCTCGCGTCATGTAGGTCGATCGCCTATAAGTATGTACAGAGTTCGTAACCGTTCGCTCGGATCACTGAAGGAGATGGGGCACTTCCTTACACGTGTAGTTCGTCATTTGATGAACCTTTTGTGAACAGGTTTCCTTGCGGGTCCTGGCATGGGGGTTGGATGGAGAAGGGCAAGACGCCTTGGGGTTGTATGTCAGACTTGAAGTTTGAAGTATTGAAGTAGGAAGTTGGGTGGTAGTTTGAAAGAGAAAGAAGGGAAAAAAATGTCCACGCCCAGGATTGAACTGGAGACCCTTGCATTACATGCGCCGGGGAAGAAGGCAACCTCATAAGTACAATGCTCTACCACTGAGCTACGCGGACCACGTTCATCCGGCAGTCCTATAGCCTCAAGTCACCACTTCTCTCCTCCGGCCACATAAATACTTCTCACCTTCCTCGTCCTCACCTCTTCTTCCCTCCTTCCTTTTTTCCCCCGACCTCGGGTCCGTCAAGACACTATGTCAGAGAAATAGACTAGCTTTCTATTCTTTTCCTTCTTCCCAGGAACCCGAGTCTATGGATCAACCCATCTACCGGTAAACTTAGTACCAATTGGTCGCCAGCAACGGGTACCGCTTTTCCAGGCTTTTCCCTCCCACTCTCCGGTCACGTGACGTTGTAGACACGTCAGTTACCGAGAACGAATAAATACATACGCACGAAAGAGCAGTCGTGGACTTCTCACCAACATTTCTCTCTCAAACGGTTCTGTGAATGATGTTCGACCTTCAGCTGTTGACACTGGCACTTGCGTTGACACCTTCGTTGGTGTCGGCGGGTATTTTCCCGAAAGACTCTGTCGTCAAAATGCTTGATCCGAAGGGATTCAAGCAAGCTTTGAAACCGAATGTACGTGGAGGTTTTTTTTGCAGTGGTGCTTGGTGGTGGTTGTGCTGTGGAAGAAAGAGTAGTCTCTCGGATCCTGATAGTTTTCTCTCTTCTCCTTGTCTAGCAAACGAGTATGATCGCATTCGTCGCGCCTTGGTGCGGTGTAAGTCTCCGATTCCTAGCTTTGACTCTCGTTCTCCCGAAAAAAGCTAATGCGTGATTCCGATATAACCTGTAGCACTGTCAAAGAATGGCACCGGAGTACAGTAAAGCAGCTCTTGGACTCTACCCTCTTATTCCTACATACGCAGTCAACTGCGACGACGAGAAGAACAAACGTCTTTGCGCCGAACAGGTACGGGGCTTTTTTTTTAGATTCTTCGGAACTCTAAGAATAATCCCATGTTCTCTTACTTGATATAGGGCGTTCAAGGATTCCCTACAGTAAAAGTACGTCTTTATTCATGTCGTTACTTCCACTTGGCTGAATACTAACAAATTAATAACTCTCAACTCATTCTGAAAATTATAGCTTTTCCCAAGAGGAAAGACTGTTCCACCTATGACATACGACCAACCCGAGCGTTCCGCCAGTGCTTTCTTCTACTGGGCCTCACGGCGTATCCCTAACGCTGTCACCAAGATCTATCGTGCCGAAGAAATCCAGCCCTGGGTCGAAAAGGTTCGTTTTTTACGCTCCCGTTATCTTAATCTCAATGCCAACTCAATGCAAAATCAAAAATCCAACCTCCAAAAACCGTATATATTATAGACAACCTCTCTCGACAGACCCCGCGCTCTCCTCCTCACAAAAGACAAAAAAGTCCCTCTCCTCTGGAAAGTCCTCGGAAACAAGTACCAAGGCCAAATCGAACTGGCTTCGCATCGGGATAGGAAAGGAAAGAGTTCGGTTTTTATGGGATACGAAGCTGGGGAGAAGAAAGTGCCAAAGGTTTTGATTTATCCGATTGGTTCGACGAAGGCTGTTCGGTATGAAGGTTAGTGTACTCAACGCTCACTCTTCTTTCACTTTCTTGTGTATACATCTTTTTCTTTCTCTCGTCCCGTCCCACGTCCTGTTCTGTTTTTTTTTTTCGTTTACCCTAACCCCCCTTCCCTTCCCCCCAAAAAAACAGGCATCAACAAACTCGACTCCCTCTCCACCTTCTTCGACTCCGTCATCGACGGAACCGCCACCGCCTCTGACCTCCTAACCGCCAACTCCCAAGCAGCATCCGAAGAATACACACCAGACGAAACCGAATTAGAAATCGAGCGACAACAAGAAGCTCAACGAATCGCTCTCGCTCATGGTGGTTTTGCTGATTTGATCGATTTCGAAGAGGCGGTTAAGAAGGGGCATGGAGCTGATTTTCATGATACGCATGGGTATGGGGGGATGATGGGGGATTTGCCGAAGAAGAAGAAGATGACGGAGGGGGGTGAAGGGGAGGCGAAGGACAAGGCAGAGGAAACAGCCAAAGCCAAAGCCAAAGCCGACGCAGAAGTGGAAGCAGAAGACGAAGAAGACGAAGACGAAGTCCAATTCGGAGCTGATGCTGATGCTGACCAAGTCGTTATGGAAGCGACACCCGAACCCATCGCTACTCCTTCCTCGTCTTCGTCTGCAGAATCGGTCCCGGTAGAAACACAAGCGAAAGCAGAACCAGAGGCACCTGAACCTCCAGCGGAACCTGTCGCCGCGGCTGCAGCTGAGGAACCAAAGCATTCTGAATCTGACCGTCCAGTGGACGAGCTCTGATTTTTTTTCATATATACTTTACATACGAATCCGATGAAAGAGATGGCTATACTCTAGTATTCCCCATCTCTCGTTGCCTTTGGCCGTGGTTCTCCCTGACTACGTCGTCTTTTCAAGTCGGGATATATATCCACGTATACATACATTCTATTCCCTTGGTTGTACTTTGGAAAGGGGGTTGTTATCGTTATTGCATGTAACTAGACAGACAGACAGACAGACATATCTATATATCCTCACTTTTTCTGACCGTGACATACATCATATACACATCTCCGGAATCTATATTTCTTATCCGGTCGACGCTGGCATCTGGGCGCTGAAGCGTTGAACGACGTTTGAAAGGTAAGTAGCGGGCGCGTTAGTTATAATAATAACAAATGTCACTTCGTATCCAAGCTTTTTGTGTAAAACGCTGTACATGTCTCGGCACGTACAAACAAAAATGACTGCCTCCCTATAATAATATATTGCGAATATAGTTTTACAACGAATGTCGTGGATATAGTACTTATTTACCCAAAAAAAAGAAAGACGAAAAGGAATATTTGACTCAGGAAAGAAATATATAGGGGGGGGGTTATATGAAAAATGCCATTCTCCAAACTATAGTGCAATATAGTGAAGTGGTATTGTGGTATTGTAAGGGAATATGGGATATGTGTGTGTGTTGGGGGGGAGGGGGAATGTGGGTAGGTATGTAGGTAGCAAGATGGTAGGGATAATAATGGTAAAGGCCTCGTCAAGGGAAAAAGTCGCTGTCTAACATGCTATTTCAAAAAGTTGCATCCGCCTTGTGCAAACTGTATACACGTCAAGGTGTCCAAAATTCCAAACTGACCCCCATTCAAAAAAGGAGGGGGAACGTTACAATAGCCCGCCCACCACTTTACTGCCAACCTATCAATTCCCAAATTCCCGATGAAAACCGGAAAAAGGAGGTATTAGACGGAAACAAGCGTGACATAAGCCAGTCAGGGCGCGACGCGTAACATTTATTTTTTTTAATGTGGGTCGGGCGTGAGGTGATAGATGAGGGATTAGTGTTGTTTTTTATGAATGAGTCGTAGGGAACGAATTGAATGGACAGAAAAGACGTGCGACATAAAGATGCATGTCAGCCATTTCTTCAGAAAAAGAATATGAACGCGAGCGCCGAGCTAACAAGGGTAGCGACAGCACCGCTGACACGAACGGAACCAATCGCAGCGTTGTTATCGGCACCAGCGGTAGTCGAGGGCGAAGGAGAGGTTACAGCACCGGTCTGGCCATTAGAAGCGCCTTGGTTTGGGACAGAGGTCACCGTGGTCATCCTGGAAGGTGATGTCGTGGCTCCAGAAGCAGCACCACCACCGGCACCAGCGGCGGTGGTTGAGCTCACAGATGATGATGAGGAAGCAGGGGTCGACGAAATGACAGGTACGGACACGGTGACAGAAGCGGCGGAAGCAGAACTGGCTGCGGCGACAGCAAAGTCAGGAGCAGGGGAAGCTTTGGAGGGGTCCTTGAGAGCGCCAGTTCCCCATGGAATTTCGGCACCGTTGGGTTGTTTGCTTTCGGAGGGCGCGGTAGTGGAACCATCAGCGCCTGCGATGGTGAAACGTGTGGTCCAGGTAAGGTTGGAGGTCGAGGGGCTGGAGAATTGATAGAAGTAGATAGCAGCATTAGGAGTGACCTAGAAGAACAGAAACTGTTAATCGCATAACGAAAAACTCGAGAGAAAGCAGACTTGCCTCGGGGCAAGTGAATGTGAACTTTCCATCCACGGATCCATCCTGACCAGTAGCAACAGCTGAATGAAGAAAGATTAGAGAACGCCTTTCTCAAAACCAGAGGCTACGCACTGGTAATGTGAACCATGTTAAAGTTGTCACCAGTCATGAGCTCGATAGCCATGTTCTTCCAGTCGGTGGTAGAGTCGGCATCGCCTGCCCAAGTGATATCACAGTTGGAACCTTGTTTGAAAACGGCACCAGGACCAGGAGCGCTGGGGGTGACTATAGCTTGCACAAGAAGAGCGGGAGCAGAGGCAAGGAGAAGAGCGAAGAGAGAGGCGACCATTATTACGAGTGTGTGCTAGTCTGAAATAACCTACAAAAGACAAAAAAAACAGAAAGGCAGATGAACAAAAGAAGAAAAAAAGAGATGATTCTTGATGGATCACACCTGGTTATAAAGGGTTATTGAGAGGCGGTGTAAAGGAATGACTGGGTAGGAAAAGAACGATGGTAGTTGGACGACCAAAAAAAGCCGGGGTTTACTTTAGCGTGACGGAATATGTATCCGGTTACACGTGACTGTAATGTCGACCCGCGTGTCAAGGGGTAAAAAATTCAAATTGGATTCTGTTGTGTTGTATCAAACGCTCTCTTCCCCATCAGAAGTGCTTGAGAAACAAATTTTTCAGGCGTACTTTACCCCGGTGCTGGGTCTGTCAAGGGACGCTATCAATCAGTGTGTGCTGAAAGGCAGCGACATTTCAAGATCTTACCGTTCTAATCGACGGCCTCGTTCTAAAGAAATTTTCAGCTTTCAGAGCTCCAACGAGGCCTAAAAATCCAAGGTCAGCCACAGATAGTTGAGCGGTATTTCGGAAATCCTGTACTCACAAGCGGACATTTCAGGCCGTTCACGATGAAGATCCCTCGACAACACACATAACCCATACTTCATGCATCAGTGTCAATCAACGCTCAATAGTAAGTACAGAACACCACCCACATGGGTAACC